TCTGAGCCCTGGTGTTCCCCAGAATCCAGGCAATTCCCTTGTCCCCCAAAATCCAACAATTCCTATGTCCCATCGCTGACCATGGGGAGAACAGCCCCTTCCAGCTCCCCCGCAGGCTCAGCGCTGGGCTTTTTGTCCAACATTGCCCATTGCCCAACCCTGCCCCCTCCGATAGGCACTTGTCAGGCGGTTTTACCCCCTCAGGGTCCCCATTTCTGTCACCTTTGTGATTATTCCTCCCCAAAACAGGCTGTGCTGGGGCAGGGTGAGCCCCCAGCTCATGAGGACCCAGCTGCATCCCCTCCTTCCTTCCCCTCCCAAATTTGCTGCCCTAGGGTGCCGAAAGGCAGCTTTCACACTGACCCCAGCCCTGCTGGTCCCACATCACGAGACGCCCATCGCATGATGACGATGATTTATTATTCTAATGAACTTCTGGCCCCACGAGCTTCCCTTCCCCTTGGGAGAGGCCTTTGCGTAGCGCTAAAGGGGTGAGCGTCTGCACCATCGCACGCCCCTGGGTGTCGGCGGGGGGTAGAGCAGCACCCAAATACTGGCAGCACCCAAAGACCGGGCTGCGCACGCCGCTGCGGCTGCTGCACTGCGGCGAGGCATAACCCATAGAGCACCGCTGCTCTTAAATGGTTTTAAACCCGGCTTAAATCCCTTCCCGCTTGGCCTTGGCAATGGGGCCCTCTCCACTGCCCCTGGCTCCTTCCCACAGGACACGTCCGTTAGCGGGCGCCTTCGTTAACGCGCAGCGATGGGGCTCTTGTGTTGGGCTGATTTGGGTTTCCCCTCGTTTAAACACAGCCCGTGCCCATCCTGGGGGTCCCGGGGTTTTACCCCCAGCCCTGACGCTGCCTCGATGGACCCAAGTCTTGGGGAGGTGCTGGTTTCTCTGCACCCCCTGGGGCTGCCGAGTCCCACCTGGAGCTTTAGGAGCCCAACTCGGTGCCAAAGCTGTGGTCTGAAGGGGTAAAATCATCCCCATGAGGACTCACTCCCCTTGGCCCCGGGTTTTGGGGGTGCAGGTGAAGGTTGATGATGTTGTGATGGTCCAAGTGGCCATCGGACACCAGTGGCGATCAAACGATGGTGGGCGTTGGTGGAAGCTGTTGGGTTTTACCCTCTGGTGCAGCCCGGTTTTTGGGGTTGCCTGGACCTCTCCTGACCACTGCTGCAGCTCTTGGGGTCCCCCTTTGCTGGGAGAAGGGATTTGGCCCCGAAAGGGCGTCTGGGACCACTCACGAGCGGTGGACGTGATGCTGAGCAATGGACGTGGCGGGCAAGGCCCAAAGCAAACTGGGTGGAAACAGGCACAGCAACTCCCCGGGCTGCAACCCCTTGGTTTTGGGTTGGAGGATGAGCTACAGGCGGCTGAAAGCGGGACATAAAGCGCTGGGGGCAAAGGGGTGGCGGGACAGGGCGCCAAGGGGGGTCCTGGCCGGTGTCAGTCCAGCTTTTTGGCGCGGGCGGCCTGCGTGCGCCTCTTCAGCTGCACCGCGTCCACGTAGAGGTTGCGCTTCAGCACGGCGCTGGCGCACATGAGGGCTCCCTGCAGCGCCCCCATGAAGCCGGACAGACACAGATCCTGCCCTGGAAGAGAGCGGGGGGTGGCGGTGGCACCGTGGTCCCCCATGAGCTGCCCATGGTCCCCAAGTGCCCATCAATGGCGTTGGGACATCCCTATCCCCGTCCTCATCCTCTTTCCAGTTGCCACCACGCCAACCCTTGGGTTTGAACCCCCCAAACTCCTCCCTGTTTGAGCCCTTCCTTCTCCCAGTTAGCACAGATCAGCACTGGGCAGGGAGACCGCATCCAGGAGCCGCTTCGTCCTCAATCTGGGACCACGCAGCCCCACTTCGACGTGCTCCAGGGGCTCTCGCATCACCCCACAGCATGGCAGCGGCTTCTCCCCTTACTTCATTGCAGGATTGAAGGGTTTTCCACCCAAATTGAGCCCTCCCCAGAGGTGACCCCATCTAAGGACGCGGTGGCCGCGGTACCTGTCAGGTAGAGGTTGGGGACGGCCGTCTGCGCCCTGAAAGTGGCGATGGTCTCGGCCTGCAGGCGCGCCATGTCGTGGTCCATGCCGTAAAACTCCCCTTTCAGGCTGGCCAGGTAGTGCTGGTTGGTGACGGGCGTCCCCCCAGAGATGTACTCGATCTGCAGGGGGATAACATGGGGGTGATGGCGTAGGGGGCCTCCCTGTGCTGTCTCCTTGGGGTACGGGCTGGGACGGGGCTGCGTGTGGACCCTTGGGTGGTGGTTTTGGCCAAGTTGGGTCCTGGAGGACCTGGCCCCACCACGCATGGTCAGGAGGCAGAGGCAATGGTGCCGCTCTGCCCCGGTGGACCTCACGTCCAGCAGATCCCTACGTCTTGGGTAGAGAGGACCCAGGAGTGGAGCTGGAGGAGCCACCAACCCCGGGATTCCTCACCCTGTCCTCGACGCGAGGGTAGAGCTTGAAGACGGTCTGCATGATGGTGTCCACAAAGGTGCCCTTCAGCTCCTCGTACTCGTCTCCCCGCTTCAGGACCTGCTTGTCCTTCCACTCCTCAAACCACTCGTATTTGGCGAAGGTCACGATGGCCAGCGTGGATTTGCCTGCAGCAAGAGGTTGGTTGTTCCCTGCCCACCCCCGTGCCACAAACCCAACCCTCCCCGTGCGTCCCCTGCGACGTCCCCGGGTCTCTGTGGTCCCAAATCCTTCACCCCGTTATCTCGAAGGCCACTTCCCATGGGCAGCCTGCTCAGCAGCTTTGACCATGGCTGTTTGAGGAGAAAGCCCTCGTTTGCCGTCATCAAACGACCCAAAACCCAATGAGGTTTTCAAGCCACTCCCAGGTGCTGGGCTGGGTTTCCACCATTACCTGGGTACCTCTTTTCCCAGGTGGGGTCCTTGGCCGAGGGGCAGGTGATGAAGAGGAGGGGGATGTTCTTGGCAGCTTCTTCTCTGGGAGACGCCAGGTAGCGACTCACCCTGCGGGGAAAAACCGGGGCTCGAGGTGGGTTTTGGCGAAAATCCACCCGCTCGGCGCTTGTTACGGCCCAATCCCACGGAGCGAGGCTCTGCCGAGGGCATTTTCTGAGGCACCGCCCAGGAATCGATCTCCTCACGCTTCACGAAGCAGGCCCGGGGTGCAGCCCAACCTACATTTCATCCAGGTCACATCCTGGGTAAACGTAGTAGTTGGTGGGCTCCAGCCCCAGCTCTTCCCTCGAGCCGTTAAGGCCCACAAAGACGGTGAAGCCCCCTTCGCCGTGCGTCGCCATGCGGAGCTGGGCCTGGATCTCTGCGACACAGGGGGAAGAAGGGGAAGATCAGTACTGAGCGGGATCCCCGGCTGCGGACAGGTGGTTTCTCCTGGAAGAAGCCCCGTTCACATCCACGTTGCTCCCATGTTGGCCTCTAAAGCTGATTTATCTCTAAAGCTGCTTTATCTCAAACGTCCTGCTCAAGGGCTGGGACGGCAACGCCTGCGAGCTGCAGGGAAGGCAGCGGTGCTGCGATTTCCCATCGGGGTGATTTGGAGTGCCCCTGGCCGGAGCTTTTCCTGCACTGAGTGACCTTGGGTTCAAGTGTGCTCCTGCTCAGCAGACGTTGAACGGTTGTAGACCAGGGCCATAGGGTTGTCCACCCAACCATGCCCCTCTGCAACCAACCATGCCCCTTCCCACCCAACCATGCC